TTCAAGTCTATGGTTAACCGTTATCTTCCCTATATATCCCTAAAAACTGTACCTCTTACTCTTTAACCCTCTAACTCGAGTGGCTCTTGGAGATAGTAAAAAGTGAACATATTGTAAAAAATGTGTCCAAGATATATCAGTTGTTTCCAGGAATGTAAAAAAATGTCTGTAAAACTATACCCGGAGTAGCTCTCGGGGCTTGTACATTTTGAACACATTGTAAAAAGAAATATGTCCAAGAAATACCAATTGTCTCTAGGGATGTAAAAAATGGCCGTAACACTCCACCTCGAGTGGCTCTTGGGGCTTGTACAGGATGACAATATTTTAAAAAGAAATGTATCCAAAAAATTCCAGTTGTCTCTAGGTATATAAAAAAAAAGTCTGTAACACTCTAACTCGAGTGGTTCTTGGGGCTTGTACAGGGTGAACATATTGTAAAAAGAAATTTGTCAAAAAAATTCCAGTTGTCTCTAGGGATGTAAAAAAAATGTCTGTAACGCTCTACCTCGAGTGACTCTGGTGGCGTGTACAGAGTGAAAATATTGTAAAAAAATGTGTCCAAAAAAATGTATTTCTGTTCTTAATTTCAAGACAAAAAAATGGCGAAATAAAAGAAGAGAAAAACGTTCCTAAAATTTGAATCCCATGGCAAGAAAACCAGGTATATTCCAAGAGCAAGTCCACTTTACTAATGCAACTCTTTCGAAATGCAGTCACATGACATTTTTCATCTGCTGCAATTTCCAAACTCACGTAACATTTTTAAATAATATAATTCTGCATTTTTCAGGCCGATACATCACAACGATATTTTATTAATATTCACCCAAAACAAGGCACAAAAGCCACTCAAGGCTGTGGTTTACTGAATGAGGTTGTTTTACGAGTGATGAAAAGTTCAGTTTATGAGGATATGTAGGAAAGATATGAGTTAACCCTAAACTTGAAGACGTTAAGCTTTTAGTGAATAATCTCGAATGTTTGGCTCACAAAGTACTAGATTGGTCTTATGATTATACGATTGAAATGGCTCGATAAAACCGTAGGTTTTATGCTAAGAGTTTCTTCTTCGCATTTCTCACTTATGGAACTCTCTTACGGCTTCTTGCTTTTGTTATCTTCTGTCTTCTTAATTCTGTTATTTTATTGTTCTCTCTCCTTAATAATGATTCTCTTTGTTCTTATTTTTTTACACTCGGTAACCCCGTGTGTCTTAGTGGCTTTACTGAATTGCTTGGAGTGAAATGATAAAAATAAATGGTGTAAACATTTTCCTTCAGTAAATATTAATGCAGGTAGTGTAGTAGTTAAAGAGTCGGAACAAGAAAACGGCAAGCCAAGTTAACTTACAGAATGCGGAGTCTAGGCCGGTATGGCGAGCGATTGGTCAGAACACCTCGCGAGCTTGGAATTCTGACAGTGATGGGTTGCCTTTGTCTGTTTTTGGATATAAGACCAAAATGGTGCAAAGTCGGCAGAGGGCCTCAATAATTTTTCATCATCGACGTGCTTTTCTCATACAGATTCCCTAGAGAGGTTATCCCGCGCGTGGCGGAATGCTAAGCCAACGAGTGGGCTTAAGTTCTCCTGGAGACCTTTCTTCTGTTATCTTCTAGAATAGACGCTACCACGTCTGTTGCTCTCTTATAATCAAACGAATAAGAAGAAGAAACCGTCTTTCATTTAGACAATCTATGAAGTGGCGTTTAGGTCTGAGGAGCTTTGCCATTAGCAACACGGAACCCAACTGTTTGAATCCCAGTCGAGATTTTTATATAAAGGTACGGATTCATCTATTCCCCACTCAGCTATAAGTTAAATAGTAGGGTAGACTAAACTCTCTGACAGCGGTCGGCAAGCAATATACTAGATAGAAAATTTTGATTTCAAAACTGTATAGGGGGGACATACTTGAACTGTACCTAAGCTCCGATCCGCTCATTCGAGATTATGCTTTCTCGCTCACTAAAAGCTTAACGTCTTCAAGTCTAGGGTCAACTCATATCTTTCTTTATAGTTACAGTATAAGCCACGGGTTGGCTAGACTTACAGCCATTTCACGGCCAATCACCGAAGTTAAGCTACGTTGAACCTGATCAGTACATAGGTGGGTGACCGCTGGGGAATATCAGGTGCTGTAAGCTCGGAGCGCAGGTGGTGTAATAGATAAAGGCTCGGAATGAGAGATCGGAGAGTCGAGTTCGAATTTCAGTTCGTTATCTTCACTTACGGGCAAATACCTTCGGGAAATGTATGAATACACCTCTCAGTTATGGGTTAAATAGTAAGATCCTTAAATTAAATTAAATTAATCATTAATTAATCTATTAATCATTACTAAATCATTATTATTAAATAGTAAGATCAATAAATCTTTATTATCTCAAAAAAAATTCTTACAATTTAAAAACATTTTCTGGTTTTAAATATCCTGCAAAGGGTTGATAAGCCGTAAAAGACAAATCAATAAAAAAAAACAAATCAGTCAATCACCCAGATGTTGCGAACAAATTCATGATTGAAAATGAAATATGATGAACTTTAGTCAATCCCTAATACTTCTGGATTTATTCTTTTCAGGCAACCATTATGGTTCACTTTTATGCCCATAGCTGGGCCCTAACAGGTGCTACCACCTCTGGTCAGGGTGGATCTCTGAAGAACAGCAATTGTGGTGCTTCCACGCTTCTCTAAACCTCAATATCCCGATCCAAGTGCTTGCTGCCGGATGTAGTTTATCGTCATGCCCAGGAATAACGTTCAAACGGGAATAGGCGTTTACAGCTTTGAAATTGGTTGAAAACAAAACTAGATCACACTCGACTGGTCCAGATATAAACAATTCTCTCTTGTTCTCAGTAACTAATTTAACTCTAAACATTAAAAGTTTGGCTAGGTCTCATTAATGCTGAATTAAAACTCCAAAACATATTTCTGTTTTAAATAACCTCAAAAACGTTGATAAGACATAAAAAAAACCCCAAATCAATCAATAAAAAAAAAACAAGTTACCTATGTAGGCATTTAAGACACACAGCTGGGCCTAAGCAGATGGTCATGCTCGGAAACTAGAAGCCATCCTGAAGATGAGAAACTCCACCGATTTCCAAGGTGCCTTCACTTCGAAACAGATCTTTTGATGAAACAGTAACCTTATAAGAAAATAAAATTGCATTGCCCTTGCTAGGTTAATCAAATTTTAAATGATATCTATAAGGCGTATCTATTTCTGTCTATATCTCTGGGATAAGGTATTATGATTATTTACATTATTTACGTTATTCGGACTGTTATCCTCATCTTCATTGCCATATTCACAACTTTTCAGGCGTTGTACGCACCGACCTTCTTCAGGTGATTTTGAACCGAACCCTTTCTTTCGTCCAACGGGGAAGATTGTTCTAGTTCCACGTGCCATGCCTCTTCCGGATGTCTCAATTATTTCCCTTTAACTCAACTCTTCAAACGGAGAAAAATGTAAAAATATTATAAAAGCCTCGGAAAATTCCAGTAAGATATCTTTAATCATTTCTAAGATACAAAGGATCAAAAGATTAATCTAACAATTGGACAATTTTACTGTTAGACCCGATATATATATATATATATATATATATATATATATATATATAATACCCTTGGGAAAGGTATGAATCCTCTTCCTCTCCCTCCAGCTATGGGTAAAATAGCAGGACAGACTGGGTTCTATAGCCCTGGATGGCAACTGGTCTAGGAGAAGGACAGCTCTGAATTCAAAACCTGTGGAAGGTCGTTTGGGAACCTTGTGGCATTCGGTGCACCAGGTCTCTGTATTCGTCCCTTCAAAAAGTGTGGATGGTCCTGCACGAAGCCTTCACCACTATAATCAAATCTCATGTGCCGGTGTCGGGCTGTCAGTTTCCTGGAATCGAATCTCGACGGGAGAGTCGATTATATATATATACACTGGACCATGTGGATAAAGTCTTTGGTTAAATCCAGTGACTAAACCCAAAGAGTTGTGAGTTCAGTACCAGACTACCGCAGTGGTGAACCAATAAAACTTGAGGCACCCGGAATGGCAGATGGAACTTGAACAATCTACCCCGGTGGGCGAAATAAAAGGTTCGGTTCAAAATTCCAATCACCTGAAGAAAGCCGGAGTGTACAACGGCCGAAACATTGTGAATATGGCAATAAAAATAAGGATAACAGTCCGAATAATGTAAATAGCGTATTTATTTTTATTAACAGGACTTTAAGACATTAAAATATTCCAAAGACAGATGGCTGACCTTGACTTTTAAAAATGGCAATACCGAAATGTAATTTGGAATTGGCGAGACTCTTTTATGTGCGCTGTTAATTCAGAATTTGATAGTTTCTGCCACTCCATAAATAAATTTTATTGCCATTTTAGCTATTTATTTAAAAATGCGTAGTTATATAATTTTACCCAGACCATTTCCATATATATATATCCAGAAGTATTAGTCAGCTCTTTTATATAGGCCTCAAAAAATCAAGTCAGTACAAAATTTTAAATATTTGGGAGGTGTTTTAACAGACGACGGTAAGTGTAACATCGAAATCTGAAGGCGTGTGGTATAGCGAAAATTGCCTTCCTAAAGCTAAGCATAGTATTAAGAAACAGGAAAATTTCGTTATAGACAAAGAAAACAATACTGAATTGCTGCGAAATGTCAGTTTTCCTACATGGCAGTGAATGCTGGACAATCTTCTCACAGATGAAGAAATGACTTGAAGCAACAGAAACATGGTTCTACAAAATGCTGAGAATACCATGGAACAAATATGTGATCAACAATTTTTAGAGAAAATGGAAATTAAAAGGCCACTTATACTTAACATCAAGAGGAGGCAGCTGAAATTTCAACGGGACATAATGAGGAAAGAGGGCTTCGAAAATTTAACACTCACATAACATACTGAACGCCAGAGACACAGAAAAACTGCGTATAACCTACTTAATGATTTCGTGTACATGGATGATAGAAGACGGCCATATTACGTTGAAACACCGGAGCTCGTCAGATCACCAAATTTAAGCAACGCTGAGTCTTCTTAGGACCCAGATGGGTGATCGCTTGGGAATATCAGGTACTGTAAACTTGGATGTGATGTGCGGGTGGTGCAATGGATGACCGCTTGAAATGAAAAATCAGAGGGCTGAGTCCCAATTCCAGGTGGGTTTGTTAAATTCACGCTTGGTCGATCATGAATCGTAAAGCGACATGATCGTTCAAGCGGGTCACATCCGTAATGTACATTCAGTTAGCGCGGTAATTTTTTTTAATTTCTATAATTCTTTTTAACAGTAAGGTTCACCCTGTATATGACCCGGAGGCCACTCGGGGTAAAGTTTCATATTCTCGTCTAGGCAAAACGCAGGCTTTCTAATGCAGAGTTTCAAGGCAAACAGATACAACTCTCCTGAATGATTAGTGGAACACATTATTTTTATCCGCCATCGTCCAATTTCGGACCTCCTCCTCCTCCTCCTTCTTCTTCTTCTTCTTTGTACAGTGTCCCTTCAGGGCGTTGGCGAGCATGCCTCTCTTGTAGCTCTTAATAAATTTTGTCTATTTGTTATCTATCCTAAATCCTGTCCTGCCATCTATTCACTGAAGCTTTCTAGGTAGGTTACGCGTTGTTTTCTGTTGTCCCACATGCCCTCAATCTGTTCTGTGAGTATCAAATTTTCCAAGCCTTCTTTTCTCATTATGTGGCCTAGAAATTTCAACTTTCTCTTTCTGATGTTAAGTATAAGGTTGCTTTTTGTTTCCATTTTTAATAAAACTAATCGATCACATTTTCAGTTCATAGTATTCTCAGCATCCTTCTGTAGAATCCCATTGCTGTTACTTCAAGTCATTTCATCTGCGAGGAGACTGTACCGCATTCACTTCCATGTAAAAAGACAAACATTTCGTAACAGTTTTGTACTGTTTTCTTTGTCTGTAACGAAAATGATCCTGTTTCTTAATACTTTGCTTTGCTTTTGGAAGGCATCTTTCGCTATGTTAATGCATATTCGGACTTCAGTGTCGCATTTACTGTCCTCTTTTAAAACATCTAGATATTTAAAATTGTTAAATCAATTAAACGATAAAAAATTCCTTTTTAGGTGAAGCCGCTTCATACAATTAGAATCCACTATGAGATGCTAATATCTGATACTCCTTTTCTCCTTATGTGCCGTGTTCTTTCAGCTGATGGCTCTCCACAACTTCCTGTCACTTGCTGTTCTAAGCAACATTTGACTCTTTAACATACTTTATCTCTTTTCTGCTATCCATTCATTTTTTCTTTTATATACCGTGTCCCTTCAGGACGTGGGCGTTCATGGATCTCCACAACGTCCTATCCCTTGTAGCTCTAGGCAAGGTTGACTTTTTATCATACTTTTTGTTCTATGTTCCTTTAGAACATGGACGATCATGGCTATCCACTGCTTCCTCTTCTTTATTATCTATTAATTGATAAGCATTCTTGGGAAAGACAATGGAGAGGTTTCCTGCTGCCAATCTATCCTGGTATTAGGCTAGAGAAGCCAATATATCATGCGATTAGCCTAGAAAGACCAATCTATTCTGTTATTAGACTAGATGAACCAATCTATCCTGCTATTAGGCTAGAGGGACCAATATATCATGCTATTAGCCTAGTAAGATCAATCCATTCTGTTATTAGCCGAGAGAGAGTAATCTATCCTGCTATTAGGCCAGAAAGACCAATCTATTCTGCTATTAGGCTAGAGAGTTCAATATACTCTGCTATTAGGCTAGAAAAACCGATCTATTCTGCTATTAGGCCATAAAGACCAATCTATCCTGCTATTAGACTAGAGATTCCAGTCTATCCTGATAGTATGCTAGGAAGTCCAATATATCCTGCTATTAGGCGAGGGAGTTCAATATATCCTGCTATTAGGCTGGAAAGCCTAATCTATCCTGCTATTAGGCTGGAGAGTCTAATCTATCCTGCTATTAGACTAGAGATTCTGGTCTACCCTGCTAGTATGCTAGGCAGTCCAATCTATCCTGCTATTAGTCTGGAGAGTTCAATCTACCCTGCTGTTAGGCTAGAGAGTCCAATCTAACATGCTATTAGACTAGAGAGTTTAATCTATCCTACTATTAGGCTAGAGAGTTCGATCTATCCTGCTGTTTGGCTAGAGAGATAAATATACCTTGTTATTAGGCTAGAGAGTTCAATTTAACCTGATATTAGATTAGATAGGCCAATCTACCCTGCTATTAGGCTAGAGCGTCTTAGCTAAGACGTTATTAGGCTAGTGAGTCCATTCTATCCTGCTAATAGACTATAGAGCCCAATCACACTTCTATTAGTCTAGAGAGTCCAAGCTAACATACTATTAGGCTAGAGAGTCCTATCTACCCTGCTATTAGGCTAGGCAGTGCAATCTATCCTGCTGTTAGGCGAGAGACCAGTCTACCCTGCTATTTAACTCATAGTTGGGAGAAGAAAATGGATTCATGCCTTTCCAAAAGTCATTAAAGCTAAAATGAACGTTATTTGATCAGCCGTAAGTATATACTGGATATAAGAATCATGAAGTCGTTTTATTAAACCTTTTTTATTAGCAGAAATTCTTTGTCTTAACTAAGAGTTTATAAAACATCTCTTTAAATCATGTTGAAAATCTCAGACACTAAAATGGCTCCATGCGATTTTTTAGCGTATTGTTAATTGCTTAATACTGAAGTGGGCGTGTTTGTTAATGGCTGAGCCAGCGGGTTTGTAAGAACGCGCGCCTAATGACTATTTTTGTTTGAAAATACCCAGTGTTTCTTATAAATAAATAAAAAAAATGTCTGATAATCATCGGACTCACACCCAAATAAAGACGAAATGCAAACGAGGAATCCCAGCATGAAGACCTTATCTGGAATATTTGTGATGTAAATTATCTTGACAATACCTTTTTTCCCTTTTATTTGCTCGTATTTTTTCTCTTTGTCGATTGACAGACGAAGCTGCAACAAAATACCCACGTCTGTTTTTGGAATCACCTCAGTAGAACCAAATGATATTTGTCACCCGACCAGACTGATGCAGTCTCCAAAGCAGTACGTCTTATGGCGCTCGAATTCCTTGTCGCCCATTCGATGTCGTCACACTATTTCCGTTAGATTAATCAGAATTTCGCAAAACATCTGATTTCAAAATTCTTCACTTCTTAACCCTGCCTGAAACCATGTTCTACCGATTTTGGAAAATAGAATGGCAGTAAACAGCCTTTCAAAGATTTCAGTTGATAATTTGTGTCAGAATTTAAACGGATGTGAAAATGACACCTATTTTGACAGATAACAATAATAATAATAATAATATATATCTAAAAAAAAAAATGAGACATCTGAGGACATTAATAATTGCAGTTATAGTTGGAGCCCTCGGATGAAAAAGAAAATTTTCGGATAGGCTCACTGAAGGGATCCCTGGTAGCCTTAAAGAAATACAAAAAAAATGTACCCTCATGTTCAGCTCACACATTACGAAGAGCTTTATCTATGTAGAATATTTGTGATTCTAGGTTCTGAACCATTTCTAATTTTAGGCCTAAGGTCAGAAATGGTTCGGAACATTTTCCACTGATCATTTTTTTTCATAATAATAATAATAATAATAATAATAATAATAATTGGTATGAACACACCACAAACCAGGTTACGGAGATAGGACCGGTTACAATTTTATGAGACCATGCAATACACACAAACAGAAAAATCAAAGCTAACTGCCCAGGCATTGATATTAGAAACTGCAAACAAAAAAGTGCCTCCTTATTGATATGGCAGTCCCTGCGGACTGCAATGTATCTTTGAAGATCTTCAAAATGCTATCAAAATACAAGGACCATGAAATCGAAATCTCAAAAATGTGGCACATGGGAATATCAACAATTCCTGTTGAAGTTGGAGCCCTCGGTTTGGTTGGAAAAGATTCCAGTAGACTCATTGAAGGGATTCCTGGAAGCCTATGCCTTAAAGAAATACAAAAGATTTTTCTCACGAATACAGCCAACACCTTAAAGGGCTTTATCTATGTAAAAAAAAATTTTTCTTTTCCATTTTTTTTTTTTTTTTTTTAGTGTGTCAGTGGAAAATGTCATGATGCCATTTCTGACCTTAGGTCTCTGGGCGGGACCCGGAAAGAAATGAGTACACACCAGAAATCAAAGGAAATAAAATAATAATAATAACACCACATTAATAAATATTAATATTTACTTTTCTTAAGTCGAGCTCTTCTTTAAGTGCTGAAAAATATTGGAAGAGTTACGTCAATCATTTTGTTTCTTCTTCTTCTTCTTCTTCTTCTTATTATTATTATTATTATTATTATTATGTTTCTTTTTATTTCTGGTATATACTCATTTCTTACCAACCAGAGACCTAAGGTTATCCACTGAGCAAAAAACAAAACAAAAAAAAACAAACCTAAGAACACACATTTTATAATGATAAAACCCTTCGTAAGATGTGAGCTGTACTAGTGAGTATAATTATTTTATTTCTTTAAGGCTTAGGCTACCAAGGATCCCTTCAATAAGTCTATCGGAACCTTTTCTGAGCAAATCGATGGATCCAACTAGAACTGGAATTTTTGATGTCCTCATGTACCACATTTTTGAGATTTCGATTTCAAGGCCCTTGTATTTTGATAGTTTTTTGAAGCTCTTCAAAGATACATTGCAGTCACCGGGAGCTGCAATGTCAGTAAGAAGGCACATTTTGTCTTTGCGGTCTCTGATCACGATGCCTGAGCGATTAGCTTTGATTATTCTGTATGTTTATTGTAAAATACCATAAAATTGTTTCAGGTACTATATCTGTAACCGGGCCTGAGTGGTGTTCATATCAATTTCTTGCAGTTTCCTTTCTGTCAAAGTTTCATATTTTTCAATGCAGATATTGGCCCACTCTGACATGCCGGCTTTTACATTCAGTAGGTGCCAATATCGTGCAACCTGATACAAGATAGTCTATTGTTTCTGCATATTTATCACAGAATCTATATTTTGGGCTAACAATTTTTAAGTATATGAGCTTTGTAATTTCTAGTTAGCAATCATTGTTACT